ACTCAGTCACAATGCATTCTGTAATGCCCATAATCATTGAAATCCCCGAGTTTAATCTGTCCCCAATTGGCGACCCTGTCTTCTGCTGTCTGAGACCTCAGCTCTGGAATACCCTCCATCAATCTCTTCGACTTTCTACCTCTCTTTCTACCTTCAAGACCTTCATTGCACAATCTTTCAGATGTCCGCCAATATCACCTTTTGTGGTTTCCTCACAGAATTTTCAACATGGTGCACTCATGGATGGTGTTTGATAAGTGGTAATTGATATTATCATATAGAATTTATATGGAATAGACAACACAGCAACAAGGCATTCAGTCCAACCTAATGGAAAGGGGTGAGGCAGAGAAATATGTAGAGATGAAGAGAGACATCGCAAGCAAAGGAGGAACAATCATGTTGACTCTCCTGAACTGAGTGCGTTGTTGAGGTTAGAGTCAGCAGGCACTTATTTCAAAACAGCACAGCCACTATAAAAGAAATTGCATTTAATCAATTTCATAATAATCGAATGGTCAGTGTTTTCTTACAGTAACTATAGCGATTCCCTGGTGTAGTACACTGGAAATCAAGTCCCATTATTCCCAGAGCGGTCACAAATGTGAAAATTTGATTAAATCACTGAAATGCCCAATTCTACCTGACTCTGGCTTGAAGTATAAACACATCAGTTTTTTTTCCCATTAACAAGAAAATAACGAAACTGTTTTCAGTCAATAGCAAAAACCAGACAAATTGAATTGTTAATGTATAACTTTAAAACTTAAACATTATCCCTTTCTAAAAATTCCCAAGCACTTACAGACAAACAAAGAGACAAGACATAAGGAAAATTCAGGGAAGCACAGTTCTGGCTGTTGAGGATACAAGATGTGGATTCTCAATATTCACTGGTTGGGAATTTGCTGTTTCAGTGCGTCTGACTTTTCCTTTCAACAGGGGATTTGCAGAGAGCAGTTTGCAGAGCACACTGAACTGGGTACAGAGTCCTGATCAATTAAATATCTCAGGCTGCAGAGAGTTTTAAACTAAATAGATGGTTCTGGGGAGGGGTTAGGCATGCTTCCAAAGCTAAAGGATGTGACAACGTCTCCGAGCAGCAAGTTAGACAATGATTCTAAAACTGTATCAACATAAAATGGACCAAATATGGTCAAAGGGAAAATCAAAGGGAAAAACAGTCAAAAGGCAAAATTAAATTAACATCCATTAGTTAAATGCACGTAGTATTCAAAACAAAGTAGATGAATTAACAGCACAAATAGAAGTTAATGGTTATGATATTATAGCCATTTGCAGAGAAATAGTTACAAGGAGATCAAACCTAGGAACTAAATAGTCAGGAATATGTGACTTTTCAAAAGAGAGGTGAGAAAGGGTGTTAGAGTAGCTGGGCCCACTAACAATAGCTGTTCTTAAGACAGAGAATAAATCAGGAAATAATGAGGGTGCGCAAAAAAGGCAGGACATTACTCAGTGGTGAGTGTACAACACCTGGTCTTCCTCAGGGGGCTATGGAAATTCAGCATGTCCATGAGGACCCTCACCAACTTCTACAGATGCACCATAGAAAGCATTCTATCCGGGTGCATCATGGCCTGGTTCGGCAACTGCTCTGCCCAGGACCGTAAAAAACTACAGAGAGTTGTGAACACAGCCCAGTCCATCACACAAACCAACCTTCCATCCATTGACTCCACCTACACTTCCCGCTGTCTCGGAAAGGCAGCCAACATCATCAAAGACCCCTCCCACCCCAGTTTTAATCTCTCCCAACCTCTTCCATCAGGCAGAAGGTACAAAAGCTTAAACACATGTACCAACAGGTTCAAGAACAGCTTCTTCCCCACTGTTACTAGACTTTTTAATGGATCTCTCAAATTTAAAATAATGTTGATCTTGTTCTTTGTGCACCTTCAGTGCAGCTGTAACTTTGTATTCCTCACTCTGTTCTATTACCCTATGATCTGCCTGTACTGCACGCAAAACAAAACTTTTCACCATACCTAGGTACATGTGACAATAATAAATCAAATCACATCAAAATTTAATCATCACATAGACTAGGATAGTCAGATTGGAGAGGTAGCCATAAGAAAGAATCTGTAGAATATTCAGACCAGTTTCTGAGAACAATATATAGGGAATCCTGCCAGCAATGAGGCTATTCAAATCTGCTAATACAGTTTGTATTCAGGCAGGTTTAATAAATGATCTCAAAGTAAAAGATTTCCAAGGAAACAGTGACCATAACATGGTCGAATTTAGCAATCTGTTTGATAATGAGAAAGCTGAGTAGAAACAACTGTGTTGCACCTAAATAAGGTTTACAAAGGAACGAGGGCAGAGCTGGCTGGTGTGGACTGGGAAAGCATCAGAATCTTGAAATTATGCATCAACAGGTTTAAGAACTGTTTCTTTCCTGCCATTATTAGACTGCTGAATGGACCTCTCTAACCTCAAATAACGTTGATCTTGCTTTGCACACCTGCTGCGCAACCGTAACCTTATATGCCTTGTTCTGTCCAAGCACCCTGCGATCTCTATGTCCTTGTTTGCTACGATCTGCCTGTACTGCTCACAAAACAAAGCTTTTCATTGTACTTAGGTACCTGTGACTACAGCAAATCGAATCAAATCAAAAGGAGTTGAGCAGAAAAGATAGTTGATGAACATTGGCAAATGTTTAAGAAAATAGTTCATGGCTCACCACAAAGCTGTATCCCAGTGAGGAAGAACGATTCTAGGAATGGCATAAACCATCTATAGTTAACCAGGAAAGCTAAGGACAGCATTAGATTGAAAGAAAGACAATATACAATATGACGATGAACATAGAACATAGAACATTACAGCACAGTACAGGCCCTTCGGCCCTCGATGTTGCGCCGACCTGTGAAACCAATCTGAAGCCCATCTAACCTAAACTATTCCATTTTCATCCATATGTTTATCCAATGACCATTTAAATGCCCTTAAAGTGGGCGAGTCTACTATTTTTGCAGGCAGGGCATTCCACGCCGTTACTACTCTCTGAGTAAAGAACCTACCTCTGACATCTGTCCTATATCTATCACCCCTCAATTTAAAGCTATGTCCCCTCGTGCTAGCCATCACCATCTGAGGAAAAAGGCTCCCACTGTTCACCCTATCTAATCCTCTGATCATCTTGTATGTCTCTATCAAGTCACCTCTTAACCTTCTTCTCTCTAACGAAAACAGCCTCAAGACCCTCAGCCTTTCCTCATAAGACCTTCCCTCCATACCAGGCAACATCCTGGTAAATCTCCTCTGCACCCTTTCCAATGCTTCCACATCCTTCCTATAATGCGGCGACCAGAACTGTACGCAATACTCCAAGTGCGGCCGCACCAGAGTTTTGTACAGCTGCAACATGACCTCATGGCTCCGAAACTCAATCCCTCTACCAATAAAACCTAACACACCGTACGCCTTCTTAACAACCCTATAAACCTGGGTGGCAACTTTCAGTGATCTATGCACATGGACACCGAGATCTTTCTGCGCATCCACACTACCAAGAATCTTACCATTAGCCCAGTACTCTGTATTCCTGTTACTCCTTCCAAATGATTAGTAATAAGCCAAGGGATTCAGGAAGTTTAACAAGTAACAAAATATGACCCAAAAAAATTAATGAGCGTGAAGATAAACTTTGAGGGCAAACTTGTAAGTAATATCAAGGCAAATAGTAGGAGCTTCTATAAATATATAAAAAGGAAGAGAGAAGCCAAAGTGAACATAGATCCCCTTAGAGAATGAGACTGGGGAAATAATAATGTGGAACAAGGAAATGGAAGAGGAGTTGAATAATATTTTGCACCAATCTTTACGGTAGAAGATATCAAAAACACAGAATAATCAAGGGACAAAAGGAGGAGAAAAAATAATTAAAATAACTATCATCAGAGAAAAAGTCCTCGGGAAACTGATGGGGATAAAGGCAGTCAGTTCCCTGAATCTGTTGGCTTGCATCCATGAGTAACTAAAGGAAGTTGCTACAAGGTATTGGATGCACCGGTAGTAATCTTCCAAGAATCCTTAGATTCTGAAAACATCCCAGAAGATTAGAAAATTGCCCAAATAACATCCCAAAGAGCCAAACAAAAACAGCTAACTATAGCCAGTTAGCTTAACATCTGTCATTGGCAAAATGTTAGAGTCTTATAAAGGATGTAATATCAGAGTGTTTAGAAATACATAATATAGTCAAGGAGGAATTTCTTCTTTCAGAGGGTAGTGAATCTGTGGAATTCTTTACCACAGAGGCTGTTGAGGCTGGGTCAGGCTGAGATTGAGATTTTTAATCAGTAAGGGAATCAAGGGTTATGGTGAAACGTAAGAAAGTGAAGTTGAGGATTATTAGATCAGCCACGATCTCATCGAATGGTGGAGCAGACTCAATGGGGTGAATGGTGTATTTCTGTTCCAACATTGTATGGTCTTTTGTTGAGGAAGAATAGCTGGCTACAAGGAATTTCCTTTTGCTTTTCTGCACAGAAGGGGGAGAGAGAGATGGATGTTTACTCTTTGCAGGCTGGAGGTTTCTGTTGAAGTGTACATACACAAGGCTGTAGGCACTTGCCCAGGTAACAATCCTGAGTTTTTCTTCTGAGTGAACCTCCAAGATTCATGCACATCAGCAACTTCCGAAACCGGAACAGAGTTGGTGCAGCAATTATTGTGCACTGATGCTCAGAAAGGCTGGGAACATTGTTCCTGAGCCTACAATTCTTGTGTTTTCCAAGAAGCCAATCAAAAGACTGTCTCTGGGCAAAACTATTCCGTACACAGACAGGCAGTGGTGAATCACTGCACTTCCCTCTCACGGCTTCCAGAAGTCAACATTGTAGATACAACTGGCAATGAGTTCCAGTAACTTGTTTTTGAAACATTTTACACAGTTTCCTTGGTTTAAAGCAGGATCTTCTCCCATTTTAGTCTACAGTGCAAAACTACAAGCAGTCTTTACTTACATATTGTGGATTGTAATATGCAGGACCAAGGCTCCCATCTTTGGAAGGGGGCAAGTGCCTGGAGAGAGCTCCATCTTCAGCTTCTTCATAGCCATATGACTGATTTGATGAAGGGATTGATGGGACACTGACTGACAAGCTTGACACTGCCTGCAAAGAAAAAGGAGGAAATCATTACATGTTCCTCCAAGAGCATAACTTCACCATTTCTTCACTCTTATTTTCCTCAGGCTTAGAAATGACTATCAACACCAACCCTAGCAGCACCTGCAAGGTTGGAGGCCTCCCCTGTAATAGCTTTAAGAGATGTGGTGTCCACTCACGCCCCACTTCTGCTGTACTGTCAAACTGCTGTTTGAAGGAATACTGTTCAGCATGGTGCAGGAATGTGTTAGATAACTGTTTTAGTGTTGGCCAGTAGAATTAAAAAATGAAGAATTTGGAAAGATGCAATTCCTCTCCCCATCTCAGGACGTCCCAGAGCCCAAAAGGTCAGGGACGCAGTGTGGCCCAGGATCAGGAGGTAACAGCAGATGTCTCAGAGGGCGGTCAGAGGCTGGAGGTGGTCACAGTCATCGGCAGGAGTGAGGCCATGGAGAGATGTGGAAAATACAAGGGGAAGGATTTGGGAGAACTGGGAGTTTAGGTAGGTAGTGAGCGCACGGGGAATGGGTGAACAGAGCTTGTTGCAAGTTACAATGCCAGAAACAGATTTTTGAATAAGGTTAAATTCACAAAGACTACAAGGTGAGCGGCCAATGCGCAGAATACTGAATCAGTGTGGGTCGGCTCTCTTCCACACATGTTCCCTTTCACTGGGCAAAAAAAATGCCCAGGTCTGCTGAGAAAACAACAATAGTTGGTCAGCGAGAACCAGTTTATCCATTTCCATTGGGACCAAATGTTGCATCCAGTGATCATTAGTAAATCTGGCTCTCAGGTCAATCATCAACATTCCTCCCTCTTGCTGTGGGTCTATGTACAGAATTTGCTGGCACATTGGCCAAGCTTCCACAATCAACTGTATCGACATGCAACAAGCAAGACTTAACTCATCCTCTACGCTCTCCCTGTTTACATTGAAATGCAATCATGTACAAATGTCCTTCCTGAAGCCAATGCCTCACCGGTCCCCAGGCCAGATCCACCCGTAACTGAGCAGGTACCTGCCCACCTTCCTCCAAACACTGGTTTTGCCTCGGTACAGTGATATCGCAGTGCATAGCCCCCCCATCAGGAAGACTCTCAATGGCAGTCATGAGTTCAATTACTTGTAATTTGTGGAGGCTGTTTAAATAGAGTTTGCTGTAAATAAAGCTCTTTTCCCCAAAAAACATGTGCGTTGGAGGATAACATGGTAACACTTCTGGCTTTGAATCAGAAGGTTGTGGGTTCAATAAAAATCGAAAGAACTGCAGATGCTGTAAATTAGAAATAAAAACAGAAGCTGCTGAAAAAGCTCAGCAGGTCTGGCAGCATCTGTGGAGAGAAATCAGAGTTAAAGTTTCAGGTCCGGTTACACTTCCTCAGAACTGACCCTTACCCGAAATGTTAACTTTGATTTCTTTCCACAAATGCTGCCCGGTCTACTGAGCTTTCCCAGCAATTTCTGTTTTTGAAACAGCTGCAAGTGTTGGTGAGGAGATTAATTTGCTGTAATCCATAGAGGTTCTGCTCAAATAAATAGATCCTTTTTGCTATAGATCCTGTTGGAATCCTGTCCCACCTTGACCGCATTGTGGAACACCAACGCTCAGTTCGCAACAAACAACTGCACCTCCCAGTCGCGAACCATTTCAACGACCCCTCCCACTCCTTAGACGACATGTCCATCCTGGGCCTCCTGCAGTGCCACAACGATGCCACCCGAAGGTTGCAGGAACAGCAACTCGTATTCCGGTTGGGAACCCTGCAGCCCAATGGTATCAATGTGGATTTCACAAGCTTCAAAATCTCCCCTCCCCCTACCGCATCCCAAAACCAGCCCAGCTCGTCCCCGCCTCCCTAACCTGTCCTTCCTCCCACCTATCCCCTCCTCCCACCTCAAGCCACACCCCCATCTCCTACCTACTAACCTCATCCCGCCCCCTTGACCTGTCCGTCCTCCCTGGACTGACCTATCCCCTCCCTAACTCCCCACCTACACTCACCTTTACTGGCTCCACCCCCGCCTCTTTGACCTGTCTGTCTCCTCTCCATCTATCTTCTCCTCTATCCATCTTGTATCTGCCTCCCCCTCTCTCCCTATTTATTTCAGAACCCCCTTCCCCTCCCCCATTTCTGAAGAAGGGTCTAAGCCCGAAACATCAGCTTTCCTGCTCCTCTGATGCTGCTCGGCCTGCTGTGTTCATCCAGCTCTACACCTTGTTATCTCAGACCCCACTGTCACTGTTTTCTTGACAAATAAACGTCTACAACCATATTTTTGTGATTTCAGGTAATATCCCACAGATTGCTGATTGACACTGGTTTCAGTGAAGTTGCCTCTGCAGCTAGAGAATAAGGGGATTGAGATACAGACTTTGAAAAGACACAGCCAAAGCTAATCAATGGGCGAGGTGGACACTCACTGTGCAATGTGGTTTGAATGATTTGATCGATTTCTCAGCTAACCGCATGGGGGAGATATTGTAGGTGCCAGGCCCTGGAAGGTCATCTCCAACAGTTTTGAAGCGAGCCTCCTTGTTCTTCATGCTCTGCCCTCCTTTGATGTGTTCCTGTAATTCACCACACAAGAGAATTGGTATTGAGTGTCAGGATTTACTCAATTTAATTTGGACAAATACTACAATGCAAGGGTCATTGGCAATTTGAGGCACATGATGTCAATTTCAGTTTATTCAGACATACTTTTCTCAAAACAGGAACAGGAAGAGACTATTTGACTCTCCCAGTCTGTTCTACCATTCAATTAGATCAAGACTGATTCATGTTATAAATTCAGCTACTTTTATGTTTCCATAATTCTTCATATTCTTGCCAAAAAAAATCTATTTCAGTGTGAAACGATAATTTGGCCCCTGGGGGGAGAGTCTTGCAGATTTCTGCTCCCCTCTGTAAGAAGAGCATAAGATATAGGAAGAGAATTAGGCCATTCAGCTTATCAGATCTGATCTGTCATTTAATCATGGCTGATATGTTTCTCAACCCCATTCTCTTGCCATCTCCCTGTAACCTTTGATCCCCTTACTAGTCAAGGACCTATCTATCACTGTCTTAAATACATTCAATGATTTGACCTCCACAACCATCTGCAGCAATGATAGATTTCACAGATTCACCACCCCCGGCTGAAGATATTCCTCCTCATCTCAGTTCTAAAGTGTCGTCCCTTCACCCTGAGGATGTGTCCTTGGGTCCTAGTCTCTCCTACTAGTGGAAACATCTTCTCCACATCCACTCTATCCAGGTCTTTCAGTAGTCTGTAAGCTTCAATCAGATCCCCCTTCATCCTTCTAAACTCCGTTGGGTAGAGACCCAGAGTCCTCAACCGCTCCTTACAATGACAACCCCTTCCTCACCGAGATCATTCTTGTGAACTTCCTGTGGATCCCCTCCAAGGCCAGCACATTCTTCCTTAGATACGGGGCCCAACTGTTCACAACGCAGTCTAAAACATGAACACACAAATTAGAAACAGGAATAGGCCCCTTGAGCCTGCTCCAGCAATCAGGAAGGTCATGACTGATCTGATTGGAACCTCAAATCCACATTCCTGCTTACTTCTGATAAGCTTTCACCCTCCAAGCTTAACAAAACTCTATTTACCTCTGTCTTACAAATGTTCAAGAACTCTGCGTCCAGAAAAAAAATTGCCTTATCTTTGTTTTAAATGAGTGACCCCTGATTTTTAAACAGTGACCCCTGTTCTAGATTCTTCCACAAGAGGAAATTTCCTCCTAACATTCACATTGTCAGGATCTAATATATTTCAATCAAGGCCCAACATCACTCCTGATGTGGAGGTGCTGGTGTTGAACTGGGGTGGACAATGTCAAAAATCACACGACGCTAGGTTATAGTCCAACAGGTTTATTTGAAAACACAAGCTTTCGTAGCTCTGCTCGTTCCTCAGGTGTTAATGAGAGAGGTGGCATCAGACACAGAACTTACAAGTAAAAGATCAAAGGGTCATAGAACTGATGCGAATGTATTGAACAAACCTAAGATGGCTGTTAAATCTGTATTCAGTGAGAAAAGAGATGCAGGTTTCAATCGATAAAAATGCAAATCCCAGAATTTCTTTCAAGTCACTGCCCTGAGATAGCTAAAAGGTTTTATCAGTATAACAGAGATGACATCTCAGGACAGACGATGCATTTTAGGTATGAGGCCTTATTTAGAATCTGTCTGTGTTTTAACTTGGATTCAGACTGGTTTTATTTCCAAAGTAGGAATTTATAACATGCAACATTGACTGTCTACAAATTGTGTGCTTTTTGAACAAAACAAAATATCTCTGCAATTACAAATCTGCAAATGCAAATTCACCTCATAGATTTGGGGCAGCACGGTGGTTAGCACTGCTGCCTCACAGCGCCAGGGAACCGGGTTCAATTCCACCCTCGGGTGACTGTCTGTGTGGAGTTTGCACATTCTCCCCGTGTCTGCGTGGGTTTCCTCTAGGTGTTCCAGTTTCCTCCCACAGCCCAAAGATGTGCGGGCTAGGTGGATTGGCCATGATAAATTGCTCATAGTGTTCAGGGATGTGTAGATTAGGTGGGTTATAGGGGTCTGGGTGTGATGCTCCAAGGGCCTGCTTCCACACTGTAGGGATTCTATGAGATGTGTGCGTGTACGTGTACACAGAGTGGTGGGGTGACCTGTAGTGTAACATGAACCCATGATCCCAGTTGAGACCGTCCTCATGTGGACTGAACTTGGCTATCAGCCTCTGCTCAGCAACTCTGTGTTGTTGTGTGTCCCAAAGTCTGCCTTGGAGGACGTTTACCCGAAGATCCGAGGCCAAATGGCCTCACACCATTGTCTGACCTGAGATGTCACCTCTGTTATACTGATAAAACCTTTAGCTATCTCAGGGCAGTGACTTGAAAGAAGTTCTGGGATTTGTGTATTAATCAATTGAAACCTGCAAGTCCTTTCTAACTGATTAAAGATTTAACAGCCATCTTAGGTTTGTTCAATATATTCGCATCATTTCTATGACCCTTTGATCTTTTGCTTATAAATTCTGTGCCTAATGCCACCTCTCTCACTAATACCCAAAGAAGGAGCAAGACTCCGAAAGCTTGTGCTTTCAAACAAATCTGTTGGACTATAAACTGGTGTTGGGTGGCTTTTGACCTTGACATCACTCCTGAAAGGCTTGGCAGTAATTTATGGTTATGCCCTTTGCAAGAACGTAAAAATGTCTGAATTAGAAAGAGGAGTAGGCCATTCTGGCCCTCAATCCTGGTTGATCTCATTGAAGCCTGAACTCCACTTTACTGTCTCCCTTCTCTTCTCATGAGCCTTGACTCCCTTGAAGGTCAAAAAGATGACCAAGAAACATAAGTAATGAGAGTTTATCCGTGAAACATGCAATATTTTTCTTCTCTGCATATATCCATCAATGAATATTGAAGTAATTATTTGTTATCACTCAAATTCATTGAAAATATATGAATGTTCACCCTGTCGCTAGAAAAATTTTGTGCAAGTCGTATTTAAGCATAAAAGTATGCAGGATTGAAAATCAGATGTCCAATCAAAACATTGACTTTTAATGATTGAAAACCTTCAATGACAGATATGAAGGAACTGTACATATTTCACTGAAAACAAATGGAGATTACAAATAACAACATCTATTGTGCCATTTAGAATAAGTGGAAGTTACTACTGCATTGAGCTGGTCATAATCTTACCTGAACTGGAATAATGTCATAGTGCTGTGGGCCTGGAGACAGGAGAGCACCAGGAACATTGAATATAGAATCACGGTTTGCCAAAGACATAAAGGGAGCATATCCATCTGCAGAAAGGAAATCATGTCACTGGGGTCTTCATCTTTACCCAATAAACAAATTGGTTATGAGCCTATATCATGCAATGTCTAGAGGATTGAGAATCAACTGCATGGTTCTCTCCCAAAATCTTGAAAAATCTTCAAACAAATAATGTTGACAATTAAAATCTATTGCTGTCCCTGCTTGTCCATTAACCTGGCGGAGAATTTTCAGGCACATAGGAATGGTTAAATGAGAGGATTTGAAGGACAAATGCGGTGAATCCTGCATTCCCAGTGAGAAGCTATGCTGGATACAAATGAAACTTATTGAACTTATATTGCAGAGGGATGAACTTGCACTAATTTGATTCCATAAACATAAAACAATGTCCTACAGTAATAAATGCAAGATACTGTGGATGCTGGAAATCTGAAACACAGAGTGCTGGAGAAACTCAGCAGGTCTGGCAGCATCTCTGAAAAGAGAAACAGAGTTAACCTTCTGAATCCAGTATGACTCTTCTTCAGAATGCCCTACAGTGCTGAATAGACGCAGTAGGAGAGTAAAATTGATGGTAAAGAGAAAGATACTGAGAGAAATATCTGAAATGCTGATGAAAGAAGTGGATTTTAAAAAAAAGGTCTTAAAGAAGTTGTTGTCTGTGATTCTGTGCTAGCCCTCGAAACTCTGCGACAGAATGCTGTTCAATCAAATCCTAATCAAGTGCACAATAGTCTAGGGGAACTCTGTGGTAGGAGTGCCAAGGGAGTACCACACTGTTGGAGGTGCCAGCTTACAGACGAAATGCTAAACTGAATCTTGGGCACAGTTTGGAGAGATAAGGATTAATCAGGGATAATCAGCATGGCTTTGTCAAAGGGAGGGCACATCTGATAAATCTGTTTGAGTTTTTTGAGGAAGTGACTAGGTGTGTAAATGAGGGTGGAGTGGTAAGGTGGTCTACATTGACTTCAATAAGGCTCTTCACAACGTTTTGCCTGGGAGCCAGGTCAAGAAATTAAGAGCCTTTGGGATCTAGGGCAAATTGGCAAAATGGATCCAAAACTGGCTCAGAGGCGGGAAGGAGAGGGTAATGGTCGAAGGTTGATTTTGTAACTAGAAGCTTGCACCCAGTGGTGTTCAGCAGGGTTTCTGGCTGTTTGTATGGTGCATTTATGATTTGGTCATGAACATTGGTGGTTTCATCGCTATTCACAGATGACATTAAAATAGGTGGTGTGGCAAATAATGAAGAGGAAAGCCTTATACTACAGGAGGACGTCGATGGGCTGGTCAAATGGACAGAACAATGGCAAATGTAGGGCCCTAGGAGATACAGAAGATCAGAGGGACCTCAGTGTGCATGTCCATAGGTACTTGAAGGCAGCAGGACAGGTAGGTAAGAAGGCATTTGGGATTCTTGCCATTATTAGTTGAGGCACTGAATACAAAAGCAAGGAGTTACATAAAACATTAGTCAGGCCACAATTGGAGCATGGTGTGCAGTTCTGGTCGCCACAGGATGGGAAGTATATGATTGCACTGGAGGGGGTGCGGAGGAGATTCACCAGGATATTGCCTGGGTTGGATTCAGCTATAAAGGGAGACTTAATAGGCTCGGGGTATTTCCCTTAGAGCAAACAAGGCTGAGAGGGGATCTGATTGAGGTGTACAAAATGCTGAGGGGTTTAGATGGGAATAAATTGAGTCAGAATAAATAGTCGCTATGAACAAACATTGCCACTTACTAGAGGGATCAATAACCAGAGGGCACAGTTTTTAATGTAAGAGGTGGGAGGTTTAGAGGGGATTTAAGGAAAATGTGGTTTTCATTCAGAGGATGGTGAGTATCTGGAACTCTGCCTAAAAGGGTGATCGAGGCAGAAACCATGTCAACATTTAAGAAATATTTAGAAGATCAATTGAAATGTCACAGCATATATAAAGATTAGATTAGAGTAGATAGTTGCTTGATGACGATGGGCTGAAAGGCCTCTTTCCATGCTGTAATACTCCATGATTCGAGCACAGAGAAGTGCCATTCGGGCCAACAAAATAGTCCAGTGTTTCATCTCCAAATGAGCCTTTCCCAGCATATTTAACCTCACCTTTCCTCCAGTACCTTCTATTCCATTTCTAAATCAACCTACACACTGCACCGTAACCACTCCATGTGATGCAATTTCACATTCTCACCACGATCTGAGTAATGAATTCTTAGTGACTGTTTTGTATGCTGCTTATGAGAGAGCAAGGAGACGCAATTTAAAAAATAAAGGCTCACGCAAACACAGGGATGAGGATTCTTTTCTCTATCAGAAGATTATTGGTCTGTGGGATTCTCTTCCTCAGACAGCAGATGCAGACTGGGTCAGGGAAAAATTTTCCAGACAAAAATGCCCCGGCACCTTCTTAAATCTGAGAAGTATGTTTCTGCAATACCAGTTTAGCCAGCAGATGGAGATCTAGGACACAGTAAGGAATGCAGATGCTGGAAGCTAGAGTCAATAAATATGGAGCTGGAAAAGCACAGCAGGACAGACAGCATCTGAGGAGCAGGAAAGTCAATGCTTCGGGCTGAAACCATTTGTCAGGACTGGGGAGGGGAGCCCAGAAATAAATAGGGATGGGGGTGTAAGACTAGGGGGGAGGTAGGTGAGATAGGGAGGAAAGTGAGATGGAGATGGGTGGATGCAGGTAGCGGGTAGTTGTGGTTGGTCAGTGGGAAGGGTGGAGAGGATATGTGAGCAGGAAGATGGACAGGTTGGGGGTGGAGGGATTTTGAAGCTGGTGAAGTCAATATTGAGGCCGTTGGGCTGTAAGCTCCCGAGGCGAAATATCAGGTGTTCTTCCAGTTTACGTTGGTCTCACTCGGACAGTGGAGAAGGCCAGGGATAGACATGTCGCCAGGGGAGTGGGAGTGGGAGGGGGTGTTAAAGTGGATGGCAACCAGAAGGCCAGGTTGGTTGGTGTGTGCAGCGTGCAGTTGCTCCACGAACCGGTTCCCGAGTCTGCGTTTGGTCTCCCCGATATAGAGGAGACCACATCGGGAGCAACGGATACAGGTTGGATGAAGCGCAGGTGAATCTCTGCCGGATTTTGAAGGATTGTTTGGGACCTTGGACAGAGGTGAGAGGGGAGGTGTGGGAGAGGGGGTGGCACCTCTGGCGGTTGCAGGGAAAGATACCGGGTATGGTGGAGGGTTTGGTGGGGAGTGTGGAGCTGACAAGGGAGTCGCGGAGTGAACGGTCCCCGCGGAAAGTGGACAGGAGTGGGGAGGGAAATATCTTTTCGGTGGTGGGGTCTGATTGTAGGTGATGGAAATGTCGGAGGATGATGCGTTGCATTCAGAGTTTGGTGAGGTGGTATGTGAGGACTAAGGGGACTGTATCCTTATTGTTGTTGGGGAGAGAGGGTTTGAGGGCGGAAATGAGGGAAATGGAGGAGATGTGGTTGAGGGCACAGAGGAGGGGAAACTACAGTCCCTAAAGTAGAAGGATATCTGGGAAGTCCTGGAGTAGAATGCCTCATCCTGGGAGCAGATGCGGCAGAGGCGGAGGAATAGTGAATATAGGATAGCATTTTTTCAGGAGGATGGGTGAGAGGAGGTGTAGTCAAGGTAATTGTCAGAGTCAATGCGTTTGAAATGGATGTCAGTGGTGAGTCAGTTCCAGAGATGGAGACAGAGAGATCCAGGAAGGGGAGGGAGGTGTCAGAAATGGTGCAGGTGAATTTGAGGGCACGGTGGAATGTGCTGGCAAAGTTGATGAACTGTTCGAGCTCCTCGCAGGAGCACGAGACAGCACCGATACAGTTATCAATGCAGCAGAGACAGAGATGGGGGATCGTGCTGGTGTAGTTGTTGAAGAGGGACTTTTCCATGAATCCTACGAAGAGGCAGGCATAGCTCGGGCCCATGCGGGTGCCCATAGCCATCCCTTTGGTTTGTAGGAAGTGGAAGAAATCAAAGGGAAAATTGTTGAGAGAGAGGACCAGTTCCACCAAGCGACTGAGAGTGTCAGGGGAGGGGGACTGGTTGGGCCTACGGGACAGGAAGAAGTGAAGGGTTTTTAGGCCCTCCTCATGGGGGATACAGGTGTACAGGGACTGAATGTTCATGGTGAAGATGAGGTGTTGGGGGCCGGGGAATTGAAAGTTTTGGAAAAGGTGGAAGGCGTGAGTTGTGTCCTGAACTTAGGTGGGGAGTTCCTGGACCAAAGGCGAAAGAATGGAATCGAGGTAGGAGGAGATGAGCTCAATGGGGCAGGAGCAGGCAGACACAATGGATTGACTAGGGCAGTCAGGTTTATGAATTTTGAGTAGGAGAGAGAAATGGGTGGTGCAGGGATGGGGAACTATCAGGTTTAAAGCTGCGGACGGGAGACCGATGAAGTTTTTGATGGTCTGGGAGATGATGGCTTGGTGATCAGAGGTGGGTCGTGATCATGGATCGAGATACATTCAGCCCTTGGATGAATCTGAGTGGTCAAGTGCAGCCAGCAGTGATTCAGTCATTATTTATGCACAACCCCAAGAAACTTTGGTTATTTACTCCTGTCTCCTCATAAAACATTTGGTATTATAGAAAACAACAGAGCTCATCGCAATTTCCTCAATGGAAAAGAAGCAGAGAGTATACCCATAGATAGTGGTGTCATGTAGTACAGTCATTCCTCTGTATCCGCCAACTCACAAATCACGTTTCCACCTACTCGTGACAAAAAATAAGTAACCAATCATTCAGAGTCTGCAAGCAAAACTCTCCTTTCCGCGATCACTTTCGCTTATGCACCAATCCAAGATGGTGGCACCAGCAAGATAGGCAATGTTCGAACTCCTGGGCCCATCTGCTCCAGGAGGCCACTTCCTCCCTTCTTTTTTTACCCTCTTTGTCTTCTTTCTTTTTCTTTTTCTTCTTCTTCTTCCTCCTGTCGGTGGCAGCAGAGAGGTGATGTGGTGGAGGGGAACAGGATTCTTAGTGGAGCTGTGGTCTGGCCTGGCCTGGCCAAGCGACTGAGCCAGG